ATATTTATTTTCTATTTATTTAGGATTATTTTATACTGTAATTTTAATTGATTTTAACCGCCTTGTAAACCTCCCAGAGTTGTTTTTTAACGAGACGGGAGGTGACAGATTTGATATATTAAATAAATAAATAAATAATAGAAAATAAATATGATAACAAGTATAGATAAATAAATATTCATAATAATGATGATAATAAGAATAAAGAAAAATAATGTAAAACGGTACAGTATTTTTCCAGCTATACAGAAAGGAAAAGTGAGGCATTAGCTTGATTAAATTTGCTTATCTTAGTTTATTCCTAAAATTACTAGGCTGTACATAAAAATCTTTTTTTTTTTTTCCTTTCTAGGAAACCCAGCAGTCTGGATCAGTAATTCAGAGCCAGAGTGAGTATAAAGACCATAGTATAAAGTTATAAACTGCCGTATCCTGCTGCTATTTGTTCATTTTGACAGATTACATAGAATTCATATTCACGTACTATGGAGCCTGAACAAAGGGAGTTGCTTCTCAGCCTTTGGCTAGAGATCAAGCATAGCAGTTTCAGGTTCTGATAGTTCTGGAGGCTGGGGATATGTAAGCCATCTAATCAGAGTTTCTGCACAATGCATCAGTTCACAGCACTTCTAACAGAACTCTTAGTCTCTGTCTGAAGACTTCCATCCTCTGAAAAAAATTTTTTCCCTAAGTTTAATTCTGCTGTGAACCCCATAGAATTAATCCTGCTTCCTAAGGCCAAAGAAAATGGCTTTATCTTCTCTTTGACAGTCTTTCACATATACGAGGAATGCTACCATGTCACTCCAGAATCTCCTGTTTTGGGGCTATAGAGTCAGTTGCTTCAGTTTTTCTTCATGGGATTCCCCCCGCCCCCCGCCCCAGTTTGTCAGTCTCATTGCCCCTCCAAATTCTTTCCTTTTTAACCACATTATCTTTTAAAGAGTAACGAATTTTACTCCTGCCTCCTGAAATTCCATCTCTTTTGTGTCAACTGTACACTTTCTCTCACCCTTCATGTCAGTGCTACGAGATTCAGAAGACAGTCCCAACTTTCATGAAATTAAACTGTGAAACGTTTTCAGTTTATGATCCATACATTCTTTACTTACGGTTTCAGATTATTTTAAGAAGGAAATTGCTGCTGCTGCTAAAAAATATTATCCGCCTATCCTGCTTTAAAAAGTAACCAATTTGTATGCGTCTTACATAACAATGCAGTGATTATTAGAAGACAATATGGATTATTCTGCCCTCCTTTTAAAAAACTGCTTAATGAATTCTTTCTCCTTTCTCATATTGCCACCCATTATCTCAAGCTTGCCTGTTTAGCTACAGTCAGCTTGTATTTATCCCACCTTTGCTTCATAGTGTTTAGATGCCTAGATTATATATATATCATGAATTAAAGATGCCCATCCTAAATGTAATGCAGAGGGAGAGGGAGAAAAAACATTGTAAAAGATCAGAAATGTTCATCACCAATAGCCCCTTTTCCCCCCTTGGTGTCTTTCAGAGCAGTATGATGTGCCTTTGAAGACTTTGTCTGTTTCTCAGCAAGGAACATCGTAAGTCATTGCATTTGGGGGGGGGTGTTTGTCATTCATTAGCGAAATCTGTCAGTCATTAGTGAATGAGAGGAGATTTATTGCAGGTAGCTTTAACTTAATTGAAATGTGGTTACTGTAGAAAAAACTACTTAGGGTTTGGCATTGCAGTTAATCATATGCATTGTTCATTCTGATCATTCAAATCTTAGGAACCTTTTGTCCTTAGTTTCAAATGGAGATGCTGAAGTTGTAGAGTTGTAACTTTATAACATTATTATAACATTAGTAAGCATGATTACTCTTTGCATGAAGTAGTCAACAAGTTCCACCAGGAAAGAGAAATATATTCCATTGGCATTTGATTAATTAATTTTATTTATTTGAATTTATTAGGAAGGTGTTAATATTTCATTAACACTTTCCACAACTGGCATCTTCCAGAATTTCAGCTTCCTTTCACCAATTGAATTGGTTAAGTTCTAGTACATCTGACAGCACCAGTTGGGGGAAGGAAATGTATCACTGGCTTTGTGTCTTGGAACTATTCAAGAATTCATATCCTCTGCAATTTATTATCTTTTTTTAAAAAAAAAGCTCTGCCACCTATACATTGTGTTCACATGTATACATATGCCATTTTATAAGCCATCTGGAATCAATAAGGAGTGATGCAGAATACTAAAATTTCAACCTATAGAAATTTTTGAGATAGAAATTTGACGGCACTCAAATTTTCAAACCACAGTTACAGCTGAGCTTCTAAGAATGCTGCATACAGTAGTGAAAACCTGCAGTTGAATAGTTACTTGCTTGAATTTTCAGGATGTAGACCTCTTTTAGCCTTTAGTCATGAATAAGAATATTGGGCGCATGCAGTTTCCATTGCAGGCTGAGCACTAAAGCTCTTTTAGTTTAAGAGACCTTGCAAGTTATCAATGAAAACACAATTTATCTATAAAGAGCTGCCTCTTTGGATCATTGCTTATGCCTTAATCCATTAGGAGTGTAGATTCAGTCCCTTTTTAAAAGGACTGGAAAAGATGAAGTTACAAGTCTCAGTTTGCAACCATCAAGAACTACTGCCAATTGGACTACATAGTATTGGGCTGAAGTACCAGGTATAAGGCAGCCTTCTGTATTCCTGTATTTATTTATTGTAATATTTACAGTCTCTTGTCTTTGACTGAAAGCTACCAGCTATTTGTGTTTGCATTCTCTCTGTATGCTTTAATTATCTGGAAACATGCATTTGCACTAAGTTAGCTGCCTGGATTTTGAGAGCATCATGATATTCTATCAACTTTTTTTTTTATGTATAGACTACTGTTAAGAAGACCCTTTGTGTGTTTCTAAGAACTAGCTGCTTCAATGCAGGGTTGGCTACAATTGAGAAAAATAGGCTGTCAGTTCCATGCAGTTTTTTATTTCATTTATCATTTGGCTGTGTGTGTGTGTCTCTCTCACTTACACAAGCACAAACACACATAGAACATTTGTTTCTGGAATACAGGGTGCAGCAAGATTCCTTCCCTGGCAAAATTAGATGTTTGCATTAAGCTTGAAATCCTGTGAATGTTTTAAAATTGTAGGAGAGTCTAAGCTGGTAGAGTTTAGCTGCTGCTTCCTTAACAACCATTTCCAATTTGATCCTCCTCCATAGACTTCAATGTGATTTTTGTTAGGTTTTGTACAATGAAAAAAAAGAAGAAAGTGTGTGGGGAAATAAGTGTATGTGGGAAGAAGGCTCAGGGGATTTTAGAGAATAGTGTTGGGTTTGCTTGAAGATTAACATCTCTGCCAAGGCTTTGGTCTTACTTAAAGTGCAGGTCCCATCTTGCTTGACTGGTCTAATATATGAATCAACTTGATTTTTCCAGTCAGCAGCTCTTCAGCATTTGCTACTGTGCAGAACTGTTTGTAGTAAACAAAATGTTTACTAGGTTTCATTTCTGGAGACATCCTGATCCTGAAAACAAGCGAGAACAAGCAAATAATAGCCTGTGTATTGCCAAGAAAACACGTAATGGTGTTCTTTTATTTGAACTTTCCAACGTTCCCTGAAATATTCCAGCCCTCCCTAGAGTTCAAATGATTTAATTAATATGCTACTTTCCCTTGGAAATAGTTGCTATATAATATTGATGACACATTTGAAATTTTGAAATGATATCATGGAATTCCCACAGGAGGGCTTGTTATAAAACACTCCTTTCTCAGAAGGTAAATGGGAAGGTTGCCTCGAAACATCCCCACTGCTCCTGCTTCAAATCAAACCACGTTCTACCCACCATTGAAAGAACAAGACGATGAAGTAGGGAGGTAAATGCAGGCCTGCAAGGGCCTACATTGCATCACATTGCTTATGCATGATTTCATGCATTTATTTTGATAACACTTCCAATTTAGATGGTTTGTGACATTAGATGTTTACAAATTATATTCTTTCCAGTCACAGGAGCTGCAAATCTAGACCAGGAACAGAAATATTATTTTTGAAAAGAAGGTCAGTGGCTACCCAAAGTGAAGCAGCCCGCTTTCTGAAGCTAAGAGTTTTTTCCCACATATTCCTCCACCCTTTTTGCCAACCAATATGAGCATGGATTGAAACCTTGCCCCTAAGGCTGAGAACTGAGATGTGGCCATGCGGAGTTTTAAGCTTGCCAGTTTAAAGGTGTGGAGGGGAGAGGACATTTATAGGAATGTGACATTTCTACTTTTTTTTTTATGTGAATGTGTTTGTATAATACCATACTTGCCTTATGTGATGATGACGCAACCACATATTTCATTTTTTAGCAAGCATATTTTTTATTTTTATTAGTACTCTCACTGTTTGCAAGAAAAAGAGTAGCAGTTTTATTAGTGCTACAGTATTTACAACAGCTTTGCTTGAGAACAGTAGATGAGGCTAAGCTTGGCTGATCATGCTTTACTGAGGATACCTGCTGTTTAAATTATACTACACCCATTATGTTGGGAGGGAGAGAGGGATAATTTTTTTGAATGAAATGCGGCAAATGTACGAAATCACCCTTATATTTTTGAACTGAGCAGTAAAAGTTCTTTCAAGAAAATACACAATCCAGACTGTTGTCACTGGTGAACCTGATGTTGCCCCTTCTGCCTGTCTCATCCCCCAGAGGACCACCTTAAATCCATATAATTAGTGACAGATTGGTTTTAGAGGAGTAGGAGTAAAGCCAAGCTCTTTATAATTGAGGATAAAAGGGGATTACTCCACAGCCATTCAAGATAGAATTGCTTGTGTCTTCCTGTGAATCATCAGCCTATACCCCATGCCAGATTTAGAATAGTGGGCTTAGTTGCCCTGGAGGATTTTGCTCTGATATCAAAAACAGCTCCAATGTTTTGTCTGCATCCTTTTCAATTATGTCTGGATGTGGAGTGTAGTCTTTGGATGTGTCTGTGTTTTAAAATGGTTTTAATGCTCATTTTATAAGGGCAACCAATGCTGAGAAGGTCTCCTTTCTCTTGCCAAGGAAAGCTTGACATTATCAATTAATGAGAATGGTTAATCACTCTGCAGAAGTGTGGAAGAGAATCACTGGAACCAGAGGTTTAATAATAGCCATATCTCATTCTGTTATTTAATTATTGAGACTACAGTTCTAAATTATCTGTAAGCAGGACTCTATACATTATGCCCTTTCCTTTCCTTTCCTTTCCTTTCCTTTCCTTTCCTTTCCTTTCCTTTCCTTTCCTTTCCTTTCCTTTCCTTTCCTTTCCGCCACCTGAAATCCCAGCTACCTTGAGTCACTTCACTTGCACAGCATAGCCAACTGAAAACAAGCAGCATTTGTGCTGGTTAATTAGAGGCTGAAATCCCTCTGCATCTGTGCACCCAAATTAAGCACGCAGCTTTACAGAGCAAACATGGATTTCCCAAGGGGTTTTTCATTCTTGACTTTGGCTCTCAAGTTTAACACCTGGCTTTGCTGGAATGGAAGCTACTTTTCTTGTTTACAAGAGCAGGGACAAGTTCATTGTCTCTGGCTGGCAGTGATTAGAAGAGAGACTAGTCTGTACCCTCAGTTGGAGAATGCATGCAGGTGTGCACACACATGGACGTTTTTAAAAAATCTTGCATGGGTTCTTTTCCTCCCCTGTTCTTGCAAGCCTAAACATTCAGTGTCTGCTACTTTTTTTTTAATCTGGTAATGTTCTAGCTACTGCATTCTCAGCTCTGTGGTGCACAGATCTAAAATTTGTATCTACAATCTAAGTCAAACTTTAAGAGTACAGATTTTAAAATATTTGAGAAAAAATGTAGGTTATGATGCACAGTGCTCTCAAGCATTTTGAAATTTCATTGAACTTGAAGCTCAAATTTTCAAACACTAAATGTTGACTGCAGTAGGTCCTAAATGGTTTGTTTAGAAAACAGAAAAGGATGAACTTTTGAGAAAATGTAACTCATAAAGTTTTGTCTTTCTGCTTAAATAAAAGTACACAAAAGCTTGTTGAAATCTTTGCCTAGGAAATGTTTTTCACATGCATCCAGGTAGAATGATGACTCATGTATGGCTTGTCCTTTCTTTCCTGGCAGTAATCCATCAATTGCAAGGTTGTTGCTGCATTATTAATAGCTTATCTGGAAGCTATTAATAATGTGCCAACAGAGACAGTTTGTGTCTGTCTTTTTGAAGAAGCCCATGGTAAGATAATGGAAAAATAAATAGTGTAATTCATATATACTCTATCTATCTATCTATCTATCTATCTATCTATCTATCTATCTATCTATCTATCACAAAAACATACTACTATATTTTGGGAGGCTGAGGAGCAGGATCTAAAGACTTCGTGCTTTAGATCAGTGTTTTTCAATCTCAGCAACTCTTAAGATGTGTAGACTTCAACTCCTAGAATTCTGTATTTTCCTGCTTATAAACATTAGACCAATCAGAAGAAGTAGTGTGCAACCAGAAGTGCACGCATTGCCAGCATTTATTTATTTATTTATTTATTTATTTATTTATTTTCCTGCTTTTATTTGA